TGCGCATAGATTTTTTTCTGCTGCAGTATGCTGCAGGGGGAAATTTCTGCTTTCTTGAATTTGCTCATGTTGCTTATTAGTGATTAGCTCACTGCCAAACTCTGCACTGACCATCCATAAACTTGTTAATTATAGGTAAGGTAAGGTTTTAAATATTTTACAAAATGCATCTAGTAAAGTTATTTCTGATGAAGTAATAAAAAAAATACAAAAAATCTATTGTGGACATATGTGTGAGGATTTCTCTTGGAAACTCACCAGTACACACCTTGTCATGCCTTTTTCTCAGGAGTATGGAGTGAGTGACATTTCTCTCCACGTCCTTTTATCAGTCTGCTTTTGAGAACATTCTTAAGAGTATCTTTACGCCCTGGTGTAGCAACCGCGTGGTGACTGACGTAGAGTCTCGGCAACGTGCCGAGAATGGCTGAAAGAGTCATCAGATTCCTTCTTGAGAGCCCATTTTCAAGGAGAAGAAAGTGCTGTGCATCATTAGTGATATCACTTTGTCGACTCAAGAACAGCCTGAATGTGTCGATAGCCTGAGATGTTAATAACGCCACTGCTAACAGGCAGCAGGAACCAAGATGTGATCTTGTTATGTTGTTGAGAATTTCTGCGAAGCTGATTTTTGTTGAAATGAAATGCTTCAAACTTTTTTCCTCTTCTGTTCCAATAATGTGGAGCTCGCATGAGCACTACTGGCAACTTTCTGTCAAAGACATGATTGCTTTTGGAGAGCATTGACTGATTCACTTTTTATCGTCTGTTCAGCTGAGTTACCATGGCAGTGAGCAGGTTCAGGAACCAAAAAATGACCATAAGAAGCTTGTAAAAATAGCAAAAATACTATTTGCGCACTTACAACTAAGCTTATGGTCACTACAGCTGCTGCAATGCTCCAAGGAATTAAAGCTGCAGTGTGTAACTTTACACAATTATAGGGTTTTTCCATATTTATTAAAACTGTCGGCATGTTGTGACTGTACAGATTAACACAGATAAACTGTGAAAAAGATAAAGATCCTCCATCTCCACCCATCTGAAGAAACGCTGCCTCCCAAAAACAACCAATCAGAGCCAGGAGTAGGGTCTTAGCGCTGTCAGTCACTATCATGTATGCACTGCTCAATGTGCTTCTGGCAGAAAAATAACTCACTGTTCCAGAAAAACCTTTAATCTTCCGTCATCAGTCGCTATGCTAACTACCCTTAGCATTTCTAGCAGGTTATATTGTTGTGTACCAGCTGTAGCTTAGCAAAGAGCTTGGGGGAGCGGCTGAGCATGAGAGTGTTTGACACCACTAAGACCCTCCTCTTGGCTCTGATTGGTTGTTTCAGACCGAGTGGTGTATTTCTGCAGTTGTACTGGAAGCACTGGGAGAAGGCAGAGGAGCTGTCAACTGTTTAATACTGTGCTATCATGACATAATGCTAATTTTGAGAAAAAAAGTCTCCTCAATTCAGCCATAACCTTGAATCTCATTAGTATAACTTCAGTTGCTTAAATTTAAGACTCCTGTAATGTTATGTGATCACGAAGCTACGAGTGAGTTAGGGGAGCTGATCTTGCATAAAAACAACAGAATATAACATTGGTGTAGGACGTAATAAAAGAGATGGCTTTTAGTTTGCTTTTTGTTTGTTTGTTTTTGTTTTTTCAATCTTTTTTTATGTCTCTTGTCTTCCTCCATTTAAGCTTTGTGGGTTTGTGGAAACGGCAAAAAAAAAGAAAAAAAAAACAAAGAAAATAAATGCAGCAAGGATAAATGTCACAATAAATTAACTGTTGTCTCCCAACAATGGATCACCACCAGCACGGCCGCCGCCGCTCCCTCTGCTGCTGCTGCTTTCAGAGCGCAGAACGGCGCTGTTTGTAACAGGGAGGGTGTGCTGGTACTGACACGATAAAAAATAAATAAAATGTGGGTTGCTTTATGTGTGCAAAAGCGTTGAACCGTGTAATGAGCAGTGAAGTCTCTTGCTGGGAGAGCGCTTCCCTTACACTGTTATTTATTTATCTCCGCCCCCTAATGTGGGGTTCTTTGGAGACCCCCACAAAGCTCCGGTTAAAGCCGGAACGCTGAGTGAGAGTAAGACTTTGTTTAAACCGAGATGCACTAAAAAAAACCCCCAGAACAGACCCATTTTAATTGTATCCTGTAAATAAGATTTATGGAAAAGGGGGCGGCTTATCTTTCTCAAGGCTGCTTAAAAGGCTCAATTTGAGTGGGATTAGATATGGAAAGATGTTACATTCAAATCTAACTGATACTGTAGACACAATGGCTGTAAAAGTATTCATGCTTTGGATTTTCTTAATCCTTTTTATAATGTTTACAAATCATTCAGGATTTACACAATTTGAGTATTTTGACAAAAAAAAATTGTCAAAGTGAAAGCTGATTTCTACAAAATAATTACACTTAAATAAAAAAGTATTTAGCATAAAATAAGAGATTGCATGAATATTCCCTCCCTTTCAGTCAGTGTTTTGCCCTTCAGAGTCAGTCTGCATCCCTCTCAGTCAGGCAGACGTTTTCCTTCTCGACTGCTAACCTTAGCTCTAACCCTACCCTTCCACAGCAATGCCACACTCTCATGAAGATTTGACTTTTATATTAAAGGGTAAACATAATTTGTTAATATTTTGTCCGTAAAGCCACATTTTGTTGATCATGATTGAAAACACCACAGAGGACATGAATACTTTTTACTGATGACTCTTAATACGTCTCAATATTGTTGAACAAATGGTCTAGTTTTGGTTTTACTGTGTTTTACTTTTTTCCACAAAGGTTTTTGTAAAATAGTAAATATTAATACAAAAAATAAAAACATTAAATGTTACAATTTAAATCTAAACAGGATTTAGATGGTAGTGAAGTTTTTGTTTTGTTTTCCTTTTACATTTCCTAAACTACAGTAAATCTATTTTGTCATTATCTTTAAAGGGGGTCTATTTGGCTATATTTGAAACATATTTTTAATTTTTCTAATCCACCTTGACTTAAAACTTTGTGTATGTGTGAGAATGTCTCATGCAGTGTAACATTTATGTTACGTTTGCAGCAGCAGAGGTCATTCACAGTCCTGGTTTCTCCTCATAGGGAGACGCAGTCTGGCCGTCCAGCAGTCAGACTCCAGGCCTCGGCTCGCTGTGATCTCCAGAGCAATGGAGGAAATGTTCACCTCATCCCTCCAACCCATCAGGCGTCCAACAACTGCCTCCGGGTTTTACCACAAACTCTTCCGGGTGTCAGCACTCAGAAACCGCAGTCAGAAAAGGAGGAAAAGTGTGCGTGAATTAACATACTTATTTTATTTTTTTTTTTACCTGAGACCTCAGTCTCCCTCCACTCCAGCTACTGTGGGACCGCCTAATCACTCTCTCTCTGCAGTGACCCGTTAGTGATAAAAGTTAAAACACTTGTGGTAGGGCTTTTGAGTTGATGTCCCCCCCTTCTTTTCATATTCTTGCTCTTAGAAACACTTTGACATGAAATAAAATCATGCTTTGACTGAGCAACTTCTAGAACTCACTTATCCATCATCTGCAAACGGTTACTCAAATCTCACACTGAGCAGTTGGCGTCATCCTGTTAAAAGCCATGAGCAGCCACTCTCCCCCCCACCTCCACTCCACCCACCACCACCACCCTTCCTGTTTCCTCCACCATTCACCCCCTGCGGACCAGCAAACACTGCCACAAATGTCTTAATGGCTTCCTTCCTTCATTTCTTCCTTCCATGACGTTATGAATTTTAGATGGCTCCTGTTTAATTTACTGCAGCAGAATGTCAAGCATTTTGCTGAAAACTGCTGAGGGCGAGCCGCCTGTCTCTGCAGTAGATGAGGTTTGGAGCATGCATTATCGCATGCCGCTTGCAAAAGAAAAAAAGACTAAAAATCTCCCCTACTCAACAGGTAATCAGACTTACTATAAAAACCAGAGGCGAGTGGCAAAGTCTCCAAGGCAAAGTCACCTTGGGAACCCCATCTGTCAGAGCATATGTTCTCTGTGCGCCCGTCTGCATGGAAAACAGGCCAGAGTGCTCCACATTGGGTTTCCCTGCTTTTTCTTTCTGTTTTCCACCATCCTCACTCTTGTAGCTACTTGGTCCATCTATGGTTACGATCCAGTTCAGTCTGCTCCATCAGAGGCAAACTGAGAGTTTAACTGGATGCATCAAACATCCAGTTAAACTCTGCCTCTAAACAAAACATACAAAAAAAAAAAAAAATGAACCAGAGTTTAGAAAGGAACAAATTCAAACTTACATTACGAAGCTACTCCAAGAAAATCTGCAAATCAGGTTCATTGGTAAGATTCAAAATTGTTCAGTTATTAAAAAAGACTTTATTCTAATCCCTCCTCCCCTCTAAATATTTTTTTTTCAATGACTAGTGCTAAGTATTCAGCCCTCTACATTTTTTTTCATAAGTCTTACAAATCAGACGGTTGCATCAGGAGTGTGTTACAAACCACACCTCAGACACCAGGATTGTTAATGGTGACATTTCGCTGTGTGTTATGAATATGGCTATGTGAAGAAAAGTCCATGTCAAGTCAACCATCAGCACTTTTGTGGCAGTATGCCCTGTAGGCTATGAACGCACCACACAAGTGCCTGTATATAAAGGGCCCTCCCTCACCTGGTTGACATCACGTTGTTTTCCTTCCGGTTCGGACCTCGGCGTTTGTTGGTGCTGCGCGCTAGGTAAGGCAGGCTTCATCTCTCTCCATCAAGCTTACTTGTGATTTATTTCCATTTTCTGTATAACAGCCGCAAATTAATGCGCTTAACGACGCTCTGATTGCCGATCCATCATCCTTGTGGTAAGAATCTTCCCACACTCGACGTTTGTTAGCTTAGCTTTAGTTCAGCTTCTGTTGTATATCCAGGCCGCCTGTACACGCTCCCTGTTTCCTCCTTCCTGTGAGAGGCACTACTTGAAGAGCTCAGTGGTAAGTGAAGTGCTAGATTTTGCATGTTTTCAGATTCCATTTCTAACATTTATTCTTGATAGCCGCTGCTGTTTGTCCTTGGCCGGCTGTTTGCCTGCTGTTCTGGCGGTCCGCCTGTCATCTGGGTTATCTGTCGTCCGCCTACCTGTCGTCCTGTTTGCTGGCTTCATGCCCGCCGTCCTGGTCGGCGTAAAGCTGGCTCCTATCACTCGTCCAGTGTGGCTGGTTGGTGACCAGCTCGGACTAATCCTTCTCGTGCCGCTCTGAGTGGCGTCTGCTACCGCGGATCGGTTCCTCCCAGGACGGACCCTTAATTTGGACTATTGCTGCTTGATTGGTCGTGGACTTAATTGTACTATCTGTAATTCGAATGTTTCTTTTTCCTTTATTTTGACAGGAACGGCCAGCTCGTGGTGTTGGTGGTGGTGCTGCTTCTGGTTTGGTGCACAATTTTCTTTTGGTTTTGCTGTTTTTTTTTAGGACACTACCCCAAATTGCATTCACATCTGAATTGAGCTAGAACTGTGACTTTTAATGTGCGAGTGGTTTTAAACTAGTATTTTTGATTAAACTAAAATAATGGTGTAATAAATAAAATTGTTGAATTGAGATTGTCTCAAGCCTCATCTGTAGTGTCTGTGTGCCTTAAAGGTAACTTTTTAAGTGGAGTCATTGCAACCAAATTCATCTTGATTAAAATGGTGCTTTTAAATTTAAGTTGCCCATTTTTTACCACACTGGTCCTGCCACACTTTTGAGATAACAATCTGGTCTAGGACTTTATATTTCTCATTCTCTGCTATTGTTGAACTCACTGAAGTGTTTTGAGGCTGTAGTCCTCAGTTCTGTCAACTTTAATCGTTGTACAGATTGTGCCACATTTTCAAGTATCCACTGTGAATTCCAACAAACAGATTTTATGATTGAGAACTGGCCAGGTCTTTTTGCAGCAAACTGTGCCCAAACTCTTATCACATCTATTGGCTTTACAGTTATGACGTTTCTTTTCATGGAATGCTGTATTTACTGTCTGCTAACCATGCCTCTGACTGCAGCATGAATAGCCCCAAATCATTCAGTTTTAAACTCGTCTCGCTCCTTTCTAGAAGCCTTGGCGACAACTTTTCTGTCAAATGTTCGTATAACCTTTGTGTTTTTCTCAGAGCAAAGGTCTCCTTCTTGCAAACCTCCCATAAAAGTTAAACATGTGCTTTAACTTCTACTTCAGGAAGTAGAGGCATGTTTTATCAACAGGACCCTGCTGTAGGTCCAATGTTGACGTTTAAAGGTTTTGGAGACTTTGCTTAGCAATTTGTGGACTGGTTCCTTGGATGGCCAGACCTCCTGCCATTTGCTGAATGTCTTCCGCCTGTAATCTGTTTTCCATTCTGGAAATGGTTGACTTCAGATTGTTTGGAAACGTCATTAAACCTCTTCCCAGATTCAAGCTGCTGACATCTTTCTAAAGCTGATGGCTGATTGCATGGTTTTCTGTCCTGTATTGTTTCTGTGCTAACTTGTGATGGAGAGGTGGTGTCCTGTCCATGATGTACCATGACTCTCTCCCAATGTAGATGAGACCCAGCAAGGAGCAGCAGGTATAGAGAACAGATGGATGGCTATGTAGAAATATGCAAAACGACACAGGCTGTGCTAAAGTATCTAGGTTTTAACATGACTTTAAGTACATGGAACTGATGTTCTACAAACTTCTGCTTCTACAGACATTAGTGGAATAATGCATTGCCCTAAAGAACTCAGTGAATATTGAGATACCATTTGTGGAATAAAGTAAACTTTCCACAATCAACGATTAGTGGAATCTAAGTACAAGGGAAGCAATTTGGAACATCAGCAACTTGGTCATGGAGGAGCCACAGACCAAGCACTTTGCATGCTGAGGCAAATATAATTTACAGAAGTTGCCAACTGTCTGCAGAGTGAGTAGCTCCAGACTTCCAAACTTCCTGTGCAGTTCAGATTAACTCCTGAAATATAGAAGCCTCTGTGAAATGTCTTCCCATGACCAAGCAGCCGTGTCCAAACTGTACATCAGCAGACACAATGCAAAGAGCTGGATGCAGTTGAGACGTGTTTACTGGGTTAACAAATCGCTCTTCATACTCTAGCAAACTGACGAATGTGTCTTGGCCTGGTGGATGCCAGGAAAATGGTATTTCCTTGACTGCATTATGTCAACTTTATAGTTTAGTGGAGGTGAGACTGTTGTGTGGGGCTTTTTTAGGATTGCCCTTAAAATAAGGGCTTGCCAGAAGATTCATGGCATACCCAAGTATTCCTGTTGTGGTAGACACAATAAAATATCCTCCAGCCTACAGCAGAGACCAACAGTAATAAATAATGACCAAGAATTAGGATTAAATACAACGAATCAACCTAGATACATCATAATGTTACTATATGCTCTTACAGCATGAAACATGGCTTCTACACAGATATGTCAAATAGCAATCCGCAGCATTAATGAATTCCAGCAGTGATCGTTGCACATCATATACCTGGTTCTGAGGGAAAAACACTTCCGCTAAGGAAAAAGTATGATGTCGATGCTGTAGCATACAGAGACATTTTTAACAGTTTGGTGATGGCCTCTGCAGTTTCAACATGACTGCACACCAGCGCAAGAAGCAAAGTCCATAAGGACATGGATGAGTGGGCTTGGTGAGGAGAAACTTGCCTGACCCACACAGTGTCCAATATCCAGTGCCTGACCTCACAACTGTTGTCCTGGAAGAATGGTCAAATATTCCCTTAAAAACACAAAAGCTTTGTGGACAAAGAAGAGACAAAGCTGTTATAACTCTCAGAAATGTGGACCTTTACTCTAACCCCAGTTAAGAGCTATGCAAAATGATTGAACTATTATCAGGGTTCATGTGTATAAAGACAATAATCTCAGTGATTTTGGCATCATAGTCAATGCTTTAATGGTTTCCTTAAGTAAATGTTTCAAAAACTTTTCAATTTTGACTATATCTTGCATGAATGACATGAAAATGTGAATCACATGGATATGTGAATTTTCCAGTCTTGTAAAGGCCACATGATATTTATGTATGTAAACAAAGCAGATGAATCAGTGTGATTAGAATTATTCTAATTAATTATTAATAATTAGTTAATTAATTATTATTAATTAATTATTAATTAATTATTCTAATCATGTATTAGAACAGAGTGGGATCTGGATGGACAAAAATCAAACGAGCTTCCTCGTCTGTATTGAAAGGTTCAGGTATGTGAATGGACACCTCCTCATTGCCGTCCCTTTAGGGGTCTCCCTGGCAAATCACTGTGGGCAGACTCAGAACCCACTGGAGGGACTGTTTATACGGTATCATATCCCTTCTGGCCTGTGAGTCCATCATAATGATCTTGAGAGTCATGGGGGAGAGAGATATCCGAGTTTCCCTCTGAGTTTCCCTGTTGCCTCAGATAGACAATGTTCATATTCTACATTAAATAGGAGTTGATGAATATTTCACTGTTCAAAGATAGTGTAGTAGTATTTGCTATTTTCTTCACAAACTAATATTTACTGCTTTCAGGTTTCGCTTCGCTGTATGAGGATCCGTAGTGCTTCTCTTGTTTGTCTGGAACCAAAAGCTGCTTATGTGCCGGTGTGCTGGGAACCACAGTCTGGTTGAAGCATCCATTTCAAAGGATATTTCCTATTCAGCATGCAGCAACAAGACCTGTTCAAATATTCTGATGCACCCAAACTGATCATGTGATAAACCCCAAACTATGCTTCACATTGTACTGTGGCTTCAATGCAATCTATAGCCCCTCGACTGAAAAAGAACAATCTGAGTTTATTAAATGTTGCACCATTTTTCTTTAGATCATTAGTTAACTTTTAGAAGCAAGAGAACTAGGGATTGTTGGAGAGTTTTCTCCCCATTGGCATTTTCTTACTTTTACAATACTCACATTTAAATGTAAACCTTTCTAAATGACTGGTGGACCTTTTCCACTCATACCTACAACCCAGTCCGCCTCTGTTTGGCTCAACTAGACTGTTTGGGTGGTTGTCCATTACATTTAGTACCAGCCCTGTTATCAGCTATGTCCACCTTGTTCTCCTGACAAGGTGGACACAAAGTTCGAGAAGGAAAGTGACCATGACCTGCATGCCACGCAATCAACACCAAAATGGAAGCAATGCCGATCCTTCTGCTCAGTTGATGACTTTGTGGGAGACTCTAAGTGAAAGAAGAGAGCCAGAAAAGACTTCATGTGGCAAGATGAAACACAAATACAGGAGAGAATGGGAATCCTAATACTACCAAACTGAAAAGTAGGAGCTGGAAGATGTGTAAAGGTAAGCTAATGCTACCTATTGGCTGACTTACGCAGCAGATGCTCAATGTCATCTGTAATGGAATCCAGTAATGCAGAAACCAAGTTGAATCAACCCTGCCACTGGTCATTGGTTGGTGCTCATAAATGGCATCTGTTCTGTTGAACAGATGCCACTTTATTTTTTTTTACATTCCAGTTGTTGATGGTCTTGTAAAGACTTCATAGTGTTTAAATCTTACAACATCCCTTTTCTGGTCGCTGGTACCTGCAAACAACCATCAGTGTGTTGTAACGCAGTTAATCTTCAGCTAATCTTCAGCTAATCAGTGGCCGACAGTCTTCCTAGATCCTGTTCCTGGTGGAAAATTAGAATTACGTTGTATCAAGTTGAACTGTACTGAGTATGTGTTGTTGGAAAAGGATCAAAAGTCTTGTTTTTCAGTCAAGTAGTAGTTTTTTGTTTTCTTTCTCTTTCCGGTTTTGGTTTCCATTTGTAAGCATTTAGTCGAGCAGCCTAACATATTCTATATATTTCAATGTGTTGTTCAAATCATTAGATGTGTGTTATTATTCTGAATATGTCTTGATATAACAATTTCTTTCATATTCCCAGTGTGAAAACCACCATAACAAGCGCATGTAACATTTGTTGATTTTTTGTCATTAAATAAGGGTTTCCTGTTTGATACCTATTTTGCATCATGAAGGACCTCACTAATTGAATTTCACACTGCTATTATTTTAGACATACCATTTGCAATTAGTAACTGAATTTCATTAAAGCAGATTGCATGTTATACTTTTGAGGCTTATGATTTTCTAATACTTATTATTCTACTTGCCATGTAGAAATATGATTTTAATTAATTGATCTGGTTAGTGACGTTGGTAGGCGCTCATTCTGAACATTGTTGTCAGTCAGATATGCTTTCAATCAGTACCAAAGTGTTGGTCTTTATTCTGTTTCGCATCATGAAAGCCACATTATCAGACCAGGCAACTAAATGTGATGGAACAGTGTGTGTTAGGCCTGCATAATGATGTCCGAGACAAACAAACTGTGTGTTCAACCAGCAAGGAACAGAGCGATAACGCCTCCCTGTTGTGTGGGGTGAACACAGGGTGTTTCATCTGAGGCACCATTCATCACACCTAACCCAACAAATGCACAGGGAATATATAAGCAGCCTTGAAAGTTGTTTTTTTTTTCTTTCTTTTTTTTTTCCCCCTTTTGGACTTAACAGATAGGACAAACTGGGCATGCATAGCCGCTGTTAAGTCACTGAAACTAGAGCCA